TATTGGGAGAAGAGCTGGCACATGTGCATAATATCCAATGGGGACTATTTTGAAGGCGACAACATTAATGTAGACGAATAAATAAATATTTGTTTTAAAAAACGAAAATTCCCGATATTTTCTGAACACACCTCGTATGTAAATACATACATCCAATTTTGGGCTCTTAGCAGAACAAACTCATTAAAGTTTTTCCGGTGATTCGGTTTTGTCATTAAAAAGTATGTACCTGTACCATACCATACCATAGGTAAATCACCCTTTTTTTGTTTGATTTAATAAAACTTGTAAAAGATTACATTTTTGTAGGAAATTAATTCTACTGCTAAAAAAGTCTAAAATTAATATTTAATATTAGTCATCAAATATTAAATTTTAGCAAACATTATTTTGATTTAATCTTTAAATATTTTACAAATTTTAATTAATTTCGTAACTATTACCCTATAGGTAACTCGCAAATAAAATGAGTAAAAAAACATTATTAATAAAAATATCATCAGTCATCTTAGTCAAAATAAGGTGAGAATCTCGGAATTTGAGATACCAAGCTGTATATTTGTATAAACTTTTATTTTGACATCCTAAAACTTGCCTCAAAACCTACATACTGTAAGGTGTCCGCATCTGTCAAAAATTAAGGTCAAAGGTCACAAAAATCGATTTTTTTAACATTTTCTGCAAATATCTCGTTTCCTATAGGGTTTAGGCGATTTGTATTAAATATTAAAGAAGATAAAATTCTCTACAACTTTTGTTTAAAAAGTTTTTTTATACCTTGAATCGTTTTTGAGATAGAGGGCAGTGAGCGCGCAGTGTTTAACTATATAGAGTACCATTTAAGGTCAACCGGAAGGCCCGATCAAAAACATGTCTTAAGCAGTTTATAAAATGTTGAGAAATATACAATTAATTATAAATAATTTTAATTTTTTTTAAATATTACATATAGGCGAATTCCTGGAACCAATCACGACAATTCTCCCACCTGCTCCAGAAGAATTGCTAAATACAATATTCTGCAACTGCAAGAATGGTTGTGGTTCGCGATGTGGTTGCAGGAAGTCGGGGTTGCAGTGCTCTTTAGCTTGTGGCCAATGTAACGGGCAAGCTTGTCTCAATGCTTTGCCATACCAGAATGATGCCCAAGAAGATGGGACCTTTGATCCTGAGTCAGGATTCCTGACATCATGGAAGACCTAGAAACAAATGTCGTTGAAGGCGAAGATGAAGAAGAAGTTGAAATTCAACTGGAAGACAATGATAATGAGGAAGAAGAAGAGAATTAAAATCAAAGTTTGTCGTTGTTTGAATAATTATTCTTTTTTTTTTAGTTTTTACTGATAAATGTAAGGATTGAAAATTTTTTAATAAAAAAGTTAATTAGAAATTTATTTCATTTCTTCATTTTTACTTATTAGTAATTAGTATAGCATTGATTAACATTACAAAAAATTTAGGTATTTCTATTAGTAATTTTTAAGTACACAAACAGGTAAGTGCGATTAAATACACTGATACTTAATTAACAATAGATACATCCTGAAAAAAGTTATTAACTATAATGTAATATTTAAAAAAATTAAAATTATTTATAATTATATATTTCTCAACATTTTATAAACTGTCTAAGGCATGTTTTTTATCGGGCCTTCCGGTTGACCTTAAATAGTACTCTATATAGTTAAACACTGCACGCTCACTGCCCTCTATCTCAAAAACGATTCGAGGTATAAAAAAACTTTTTAAACTAAAGTTGTAGAGAATTTTATTTTCTATAATATTAATAATAATAATACAAATCGCGTAAACCCCATAGGAAACGAGATATTTGCAGAAAATGTTAAAAAAATCGATTTTTGTGACCTTTGACCTTAATTTTTGACAGATGCGGACACCTTATAGTATGTAGGTTTTGAGGCAAGTTTTAGGATGTCAAAATAAAAGTTTATACAAATATACAGCTTGGTATCTCATATTCCGAGGTGAAACTACTAAGATGACTGGACTATATTTATTTATTAGCAAACATTATTTTGATTTAATCTTTAAATATTTTACAAATTTTAATTAATTTCGTAGGTAACTCGCAAATAAAATGAGTAAAAAAACCTTATTAATAAAAATATTATTTATTCATAAAATATTTTGCTAAAATTGTTATGAATTTAAAATATTAATTTTAGAGATTAGACTTAAATGGCCTTTTTTGTGGAAAACAAAATTTTAGTGACTTGAAAACGAACATCCGTAGAGCATAACTTTATTTAAAAAAAAGTTATATTCTACAAAAACGAAAACATCTATATATAAATTTCTTCTTCGTCGCTCGTATTGTAAACTTATCCTCGTACGCGTACGTCTTATTTGTTTTAAAATATCTATAATAATTTAACATTTTTAGCTCAATTTAACCCAACTCGAATCTTTTAAAAACACAAAGGGGATTTGCTGTAAAATACTATTAGTTAAAAAAAATTTAGACCAGACTTTGGACGCCAAAGTATTTTTGAAAATAGACAAAAAAATGTCGTAAACAACCACAGCAAAATATTCTGCAGAATCAGATCTTAAAATATAAAAGTTTAAGTTCGTTTTTTTATTCGGAATTTGACACATTTGATTATGTTGGTTACTCCTGTTTAAGCCCTAATTTTAAATACTTTCAAATTTGTCATTTAACTGTCAGAATAAAAATAAACATATTACTATATTTGTTTATATTTCATTAAGTGTACATTTATTGCATTTTTTACAACTTATATTTGTCATCTAAGTAAATAATGCGCATTATTTCGAGTGTAATGCTATGCTTTTTCTACTTTAATGAAGTAATTTTTATTGATAACAAAATATATTATAACCTCACGTTTTCCCGATTTTAAAGATCATTATAGTCGCCCCTCGTATATATAAACAAATACAACATCTGTTTACCTTACTTTTTTTTAATTTAAAACCCGATTGGTTCAAATAACAGTGATTATTAAAATCAGCCAATCACTGATGCCCAACAACGTGAATAATGAGTTTAATATTCCCATTGTTAGACCGGGCGGTTATATAGGTTACCATTATTTACAAAAAATACAAATAATGTCAATAATATGCAATAGGAGTAGAACAACATAATTTTATAACAATAACATAACCGCAATTATATTCTCCACTAAACTAATTTGTTCTACTCAATGTAGCCAATTATAAATTTAGGGTCCCTAAAATTTTCCAACTACACACCCAAATCTTTTACGTTGTCAAATTCCGAATAAAAGAAAAAACTGCTCTCTTAAAATGAAGTAGTCATATTTGACTAATTGTCATAGCGAAAAAGCAGTCACCAATAATTAGTCAAATTTCACTGAATGAAATAGTTAAATTAGTAAATTTAAATTTAAAAAAAGTTTTGACCCAGCCTGGGATTGAACTCACGTCTGTCACTTGAGAAGCTTGTCAACCTAACCTCATAACCAGTCGGCTGCAGGGATGTCAGAATCTGTCAAAAAAATCCGCTAGATTTTGTTTAAATGCACCTTTATTACAAAAATGACACAGTATTAATACTAAATAACGTCAAATTGACAATTTGCATTGTATCAATGTGTCATTTTTGTGATTAAGGTGGATTCAAACAAAATCTAGCGGATTTTTTTGACAGATTTTGGAATCCCTGGTCGGCTGTCAGCCGCTCTTATAAAAATAAATTTTCTCGATTTTTATGTAAGAATGTCATATTCTCGCACGCAAAATCGTTGAAGAATGAAGCTCATTCTTAAACGATTTTTGGTAACATTTAGTTTTTAAGTATTGGTACCCCCAAAATGTCAAACTGTTTAATAACCTCAAATTCATTACTTTTATTAAAAATGAAGCCTTTATTATTGTTTTGTAATATTAAGTTTGCTCCAACAATGCATTTTAATGCAAAATTTTAAGTTTTATGTGAAAAAGTGCAGTTCAGGTTGTACTTGTGCAGGATAACAAATATTGTCATTTTGTGTTGCCAACTGACATTTTGCGAGAAAAATCCCCCAACTAACAACGACCACAAAACAATTAAAAAAACCTAAATAAAAGTTAAAATCGAGAAAATAGTATAAATCACACGTTGCAGAAGGCTATTCTCGCACTCATTCGTTCGTCCACTCGCTCCTTCGTCGCTCGAGGCCAAATTTCGAATTCGTGCGAGAATATGTGGCCTTCTGCAACTTGTACTTTAATATACTATTATTTGTCAATAAATATTGTTCATAATATTGTAATGTTTAATATATTATTTGTGTTACTGTTTTGAGCTAAACTTTTTGCATCTTTATTTGTTTTATGGGTCATTTAACCATGGAGAGGTATATGCATTTAATTCAAATAATACTTTGTTGTTGGCCGTAAACGATTAAAGAAATTAGTTACTTTTAACTGTCAGAAATAGTCAAATATGGTGACTAATCTTAAATTAGTCAAACTTTAACTATTTACGTAGTAAAAAATAACTATTTAAAAGTGAAAACGACTATTTTATTAGTAAAAAATGCTGGTACTAATTCAAATAGTAGAATTTTGACTATTTCATTTTTAGAGAGTGTACACGGAAAAAAATCTATACTGATTCCAACACAGACCTACCTACCTGTGGATTCCAAGAAAATTCAACTCTATCCAAGTATAGCTTAGTTTCCCTATTCCGCAAGTAAATTTATACTTGTTTCAAGTATCCTCATATTCTTATAAAATAAAGATAGCTTCGGTTTAATCTAAGATTACTGCTATACTAAAAATAAGAAACACACTAATTTTGAGTTAAGTATACAAATTTGTCTTCAATGAAGACTACGGTATTCTTGTTGTAACGTTAGTATGCACAGGTGTCTTTAAGTAAAAATTGGTTTAACAAAAATGTCACCAAAAACTGATTAGGGGATCTTGTAACAGAAGTACTGAGGATAAAAAAAATCAATAAAACAAAATCGTAGCTGCTTACTTAGGGCATATATACATATTATTTACAAATGATGTGATGAAAATTCAACTACAGCTTTTTTTAAATTAACTATGTATCTAGGATCGTCTAAACGGTTTATTTTATATCTATTCCAGTATATAAGGAAATTTCTGTGAACAGATTCACCAGCCTGTTCTGACCAAAGACCTAGTCCATTATTTTTCAGAAAATTTATTGAGTCTTGAAGGTGATGGATGATCACATGAATTTTTAGAGTTTCAGATACGCCTGTTGCTTTGAAACACTTCGCTAACATATTTATATCTGCTTCATAATCATACCCTGAAGCAACCTTCCCAGTCATGAAACATTTTTCAACAATTTTGTTCATGATTTTAAATGAAGATATAAAAGGAATCACGCTTAGTACTCCTACATTCTTAATAATTTCTGGATCAGTAAGTATGTCGCTTTTCTTCAAAAGTTTTCTACAGGCATTCCCTTCGAAGATATCACCGTGATAATTTTTCGCGATTAAGCTTAGTTTTTTAGGCCACAGCAAGGCTCTATCACGTCCAAGTAGAGGCACAAGGCCATCCCAAAATAAATGATTCACGAATCCTTGGAGTAGGTGGAGTTCTGGTATGATACACTTTTCGATGACATACATATCATCAGCTTCTTCAAAAAGGGGAAGGTTTATCGTGCTGTGACATTCCTTCGCAAGCTTTTTGTTTTTCCCTTCAAAACAAAATTTAGCGTAACTTCTTTTTAAATCTCCATATGTCTTTAAATAAGTAGTAGACGCATCTTTTTTTCTGTTTTCTCACAAACCTCTTTGACTGTCATATCATAGCGCAAATCGTTTAAGGTAATGAAACAATATGGGCACGGATAAGTAGCGGTAGCCGTTTGCTGGCCATTGATTAAGAGTATTAGTTTAAAATCGGAGACAAATTTAAAAGAGATTGCATTAAGATTTGTTAATCTGAACATTAACTGAACATTTTCATAAGTTTCTTTTACTTGAGGTACAATGCAAAGCATTATAAGTCGATTTACACTTGTCAATTTTCCTTTCTTTCCGATGGACCCTCCATTAACATAGAGACTTCTTTGACTTTTGATTTCCCCTTGATCATTTCCTTCCCCGTCCTCTTGAATTAATTCAGTATTTTCTAAGCCTCTGTCCAAATCGGGTGAATAGTTCTCTGGGAGAATAGTTATACATATTTTAAAAAAACCTTGACCTCCGTCCGCCATTACTTTAACCGTTGGAACGCCTATTTGCTCCCTTTTCTCCAAAACTGCCGCTAGTAGCCCTTCAGCATTAGCCCAGACTATAGGCCTTTTCTTTTTAGTTTATTTACCCTCCATATCGAATTCTTTTATACTGGTCTTATAAAAGAGTGTCAAGCTTTTTGACATTTCGCTAAGGTGTTGGCTGTAGTGAGGGGGTACAGAGTTTTTCCCGGCCTGGCATCTTAAAAAGTTTGTGAACTTTTTCATTTGGTGCGATGAGGCCCCAGAATTCACTTGGTAATTATCTAGATGTTCCGAGGAAAATAGGACGTTCTTACTAGCCTTTGGATTTAAAACAACCCTCGTTGTTGAACCTCCAGTGGCTAATTTTAGGCTTACATTTTGATAATTATGTCCTGGTTTATTATCACTAAATTTTTTAAGGGTACCAGTAACTACCTGCTGTTGTTGTTTTTCTGGTAGCCGTTCAATAACTCCCATTACATTTATTCGAGCATCATTTAGCGTACATGAGTGTCTCTTGCCTTTACCAATTTCATGAAAACAGAACGTGCAAATACAAAGCTTGGAGCATTTCTCATTAGCTTTCTGATTCCGAATTGATGTCAGTACTGGGAGTTGTTGTTGGCTTGACGATCCGAAAAGACCATTGCTTTCGTCAATAATTGTTCTTTCTATGTTTTTGGTATGTCCCCGTCCTTTTTCGACTTCCTCATGCCCTGTTTAGAGAATAGAAAATTAACAAAAATGCTAAAAATATTGCCACTATTTCTCAAATTATATTCTCCTAGACCGAATAAGAAAAATAGTGGCAATATTTAGGTACTTATAGGTCTAACATTACCACTGGTCTGGTAATGTTACATCTAGATATCTGTGTTTACCTATGAAGCGTCCAGTCAAACAGATGTAACAGTTGCATTCGTCGTTTCTTGTTCTCGTCGATTTTGGTAGTCGTATGTCGTGAAAATTTAGCATCTTTGGCAACTGTCGTTTAAAATTGCCCTTTTCATGTTCGCAAAGAGTAATACGACATGTACCACATAAACTTGATGGGAATCGAGGATCAAACATATCAAAACTTTTGTTTGCAAATTGTTTTATCAACTGTTGCAGTTTTTCGGTAATACGGAATTTCGTAGCACTTGATTTCCCGAAGATAACTTTTCTTCCGCACAACCCACAAATTTTTTTTCCTGTTTTGGGCATGATCGCATTTGAACACCGTAGCCGTTGCCATTTCAATACCGTTTGACAAATAACAAAATTTAATGACACTGACACTGTTTGACAAATGTCAAATTACCAGATACCTTGCATGGTCAAAAATTAACGATTTATCTCTACATTTGTATGTAGTATGTTACACCGAATATATGCCCTAAGTGAGCAGCTACGATTTTGTTTGATTGATTTTTATGAAGCCAAGTACTTCTGTTACAAGGTCTCCTAAACAGTTTTTGGTGACATTTTTATTAAACCAATTTTTACTTAAAGACACCTGTGTATGTACTTCATCAAAGTATAGTTTCTTTGTAAAATCTTTACAGTATTCTTGTTTTAAGAATATACTTTCTTTAAAATTTATTTATTTATACTTATTGTAAGTACACGCTTTACTTGCATAAAATGCTTGTATTCTTACTTTTCCTTTTTTTATATTTGATAAAAGTATAGTATATATTTAAAATAACTTTACACTATTCTTAAAGAAAGTGGTTGATTAGAAAAAAAAATTCCCTCGTTTAGCGACTCGGAATAATTTTTACAAAAAAAACACTCGTGACCCTGAAAAATATTTGTATTAATTATCCTACCACTACGGAAAATACAAGTGAAAGTGAAAATATAATCGTTATGACAGTAATTTAACAGTATTTTTGGCATATTATTTTAATTATTTTAATGTACTAAAGTACTAATAACTTATTAGTAATAAGTATAATAGGCACTTATATCACAATAGGTTTATTACCTAACAGTCTTAGAGGTATTAGAAAAAGTACTGTCAATTTATATAAATTCATTACCTAGGTATCACATTTTTGGTGCTATATGTAAAGGTAAGGTTTTTAATCACAATAGTTGTTATTTTTTAAGTAGGTATTTTTATTGTCAGTAAAATATATCTCCAACTAAATAATTTGTAAAATGAGTCTCTAAGAAGGCTACCATTATCATCGTAGATGGTTTGGTGTTAATTCTTCAATTTTTTCTCTACACTTGATCCTCAATCCTATTTTGGGAATTAATTCCTTTAAATTCTCCTCGCTTAAGTTTACCATAATATCGAGATCTATCTCGTTTTCTAAAACAAAAATAATGTAGCTGAATTGGAGGCTATAGCCTTTCTGCTGTTTATGTGCTATTGTCTATTACCTGTCGTATGCTATCCATTTTACACTACAGTATACCTATCCATTTTACACTACATTTTTACGATCATGCCTAGTTAATTACTTTAAATTAATGAAATATTATTTACTTACCCAAAAATGTGTCTAGTAAACATTCTAAGCCCCAATTTTTAAGTTTCTTCTCCATTATTTTTTATTAAAAATAACATCCAGACCGAAAAAGGAAAAAACGAACTGCCGGCGCCGACACGTACACACGCTAACACCATAGAACACAGGACAGAAGTTCTGTCACAGAACTGAACACAGAAACTGCGTCTTTTCTTTTAGCGAAGCGGTCTTAGAGGGTGGACGGTATTTACTTAAGCGAAGAATTAGGTATTTGTTTTAATAATAGCTATACTTAAATACAGTATAGTGTATTCTTTGTTTTAGAGGTCTTATACTTAAATTGAAGTATAAGCGTTCTTGTATTAAATATACATATATTTAAATAAAGTATACCGAAATTTCGTACAAATATACAGAATACTTAAAATAAGTGGCAATATTCCGCTTTGAGTAAAAAACTAGAGCTCTTTCATCTAAGCATTATTGTATATTTGATTTAAGTATACCAATTTTCTTTAAAATAAAATACCTTTAAACTCAATCCAAGAATACTCATCTTAAATCAAGTAACAGTTTTTCTTAAAAATTAAGTATATCCCATTACTTAGTTTAAATGTACGCTAATCTCATAGAAATAATAAATATACTTAAATCAAGTTCCTAACATGAAGTATAGAACTATTCTTAAACCTAGTAAGGGATTTTTTTCCGTGTAGTTTAGTGTAATTCGTGTTTTTTATTAAAGGCAGTTTTTTATAAACTTATAAACAATTACATTACCTTAACCAATCAGAGTTTATATTATCCCTATTGGATGCTGTATTAATATAACTTAACATCTATACAGTGTGGGGTAGTTGGTAATTACCCTCAGTAATTGAACGTAAGACTTCCTCACGCCTTCGAAAATAGCTGAGATAGTCATTATTTCCCGCACCCGAAGCCCTTTAGAAAAAGGTTTCCCGACCCACAAAGAACGCCTGTGACTCATATGGTTTATTGGTTTTCCTAGCCCTTCCATTATAGACTCTTTTAATTTCTAATTAAAAGACGCTACATTGTTTGAATGTGTCAATTGATTTATGGTTCAAGCACATTATGGATTCATGTTTGGTAATTATGCTGGTATTTTCATATTAAGTAGGTATTGTTTATCATTTAAATAAATGATTGTAACATTTTTTATCGTGATCTCTATGATCTTTTATGTATAACATTTACTTCACATAGTTCTCATGTCATAAAATATCAATCGTGTAAGTTTTGTTAAAGGTTTTTCTCGATATTGTTTGTATCTTTGAAAATTGTATAGGAGACATTCCATAAAAATGCGGACGTGATGAGGAAAATCACAAATTAATGTATATGGTATAGTAAGCTGTGCATCCTGTTTTTAAGCAACGACTTAACTTTATTTATTTGTTATACAAATTAAATTTAAGAACTGCAAGCGTCATAACTTAGTCCTATATTTTTTAAACATTGCTATGTCAAAAGGAATCAAAGCCTAATTTAACGCGAGTAACCACTTTTTGTTGTTTATTTTTTTAAACCAAATGTATGAAAAAACATTAATATTTGTATAAATTTCTTTATGTTTAACCTTGATCCATTTTTGTAATTTAAGAGTAGTTTCATTGTTAAATACTCAGAAATAATAAAAAGTTTATGGAAAGGTAAATCGTATGTCCTTAGGTAGCGCGAGTGACTTGTGATTTTTTTTATAAAAATGACTATATAAAAGAATTTTGCCTATTATGATATTAATTTAATTGTTTACGAATAGTACAAGTTTTTAAATGAAATTGTTGATGTTTGTTAAAATTTTAGAATTAGGAATTCGTTTTAGAGTCAAATAATATATCTGATTGTAACGAGAGTTACCATGGAATTTCCTATAGGGTGGTTTTGTATAAATTGCACCCTGCTCCAGTGGCTAAATTTGAGAAGATAATAAAAAAGAAAAAATAATTATTAATTAAAACAAAAGACAGCGGTCCTCAAAATATTTATTTTTTAAATCCAAAAATCCTTATAACTTTGTTAGTTTTGGAAATTTTAAAACAAAGTAAGTTTTACATGTAAAGTACACATGGATAACGTTTATCGAAAAAAAACCAAGCGCCTTTTTCTGGGGAACCCTCTCAATCCTTTTGAGAAAAGTTCCAAATGATGATCAACCTTTTGAGCATTATTAAAAATGAGTAATTTTACAAATAATTTTACCAAGCACAGAAAAAGTTTTTGGCGCTTGGTTCCTTTTCAATAATCTACATTTTCATCAAATTTATTCGCTATATTTTGAGTTACCATCACACCCTTTTTTTATAGTGGCCGCCATACCTTATGTAAAATTCAAATATGGCGGCCATAGGAAAAACAAAAAAATGGTGGTTTTATTTAAAAAATCATGTTTATATGTATAACTTATTTTTTCAATTTTAAAATGCTGTGTAATTACGCAACATTTTTCTTGTATCTCTTCAAATAAAAAAGTTACCCATACATAGAAGTATACTTAGTATATACATTAGAATATATTTTTTTATCGTCTCTTGTGAAAATACGTTGGTTTGTCATGTTTTAAGAGCCCTGTCAAAAGATCAGCTCCATTAAAAAATTTTTAGGGGTCGCTCAAGATTTTTAAAAATTTCCAAAATCGTCAAAAATTGATTTTTTTTTAAATTTTTTTTCTCGTTCCGATATTATATTTTTAAAAGAGGCGAGATAAAAAAATATTCTTTTTTTTGGGCCACCCTAATATACATATATCTTTTAGTATACATGGTTGCCATACCACGCAATGGGAGGAGTCATACAAGAATTTTTAATAATGTTTCAACAAATATTTTTGAGTTATTACTCATTTAAGTTTAAAATACTCTAAAAAAAGTACCATTCTAAATATTACAGATCTAAGAAAATTGTATATATATATATATATATAAGAATGGTACGTTTTTAGAGTAAACTTAAATGAGTAATAACTCAAACAAATTTTGTTGAAACATTTTTTTCATACACATGGCAGTTAACGTGTTAACAATTTTTTTATGACTCCTAGGATCCTATTGCATATTATGTTTATCAACGCCATTTTTGTTAAGAGTTTATTAGGCTTTAGCGAAGCTTGCGAGCGAGTGTTTAATAAAAACGAGCGTCTAGAGAAGTTTATAAACGAGTTGCATACTATACTGTTAACCGGATTTAACCTCACCAGCTCCTGACTAAAAAGCCCGAAAGCTACTGCTGTTTTAGCACTTGACATAAACGCCATACATGTTGGTGTGGAAGTGGATAAATAAAATAAACAATGCGTCTAGCAGCTATCTGAAGTTAACATGGCTGACAGATGAATTATCTGACAGTTTGTGTCAAAAAATTTAAACTTATTGTTGTTATTATTTTCGAAGAGTCATTAGAAAATTGTATTTTTATATTAAAATATATATGTACACTAATTTAAAAAATATATATATTTGTACTTAATAACTCATAACCCATGAAAGTATGGTACTTTTAAACCAATTTTTCTACTTCCTCCTTTAAAACGCCCTTTATCGTACATGATTCCATGACACTAAGTGATCTTTTAAAAAAACATTAACAAGCTATGGCTTTGTGGCGCTTTAGTCACGGGATGAAGTTAGCAACAGGTTTTTAGTCACGGGCTGAAGTTTACTTTAAGTTAGTTTACAGTTCTCAAATGCAGAGCTGTTCCGAGTACAATGAAAAAGTACT